TTCTCCTTAGGGTAACGGGAGGACACAAACTAGCGTCCTCCCGTTACCCTAAGCTCAGTATACTGAGACGCCGCACCTGGAGCGGATCCCGACATAGATGACGGGATCCGCCCAGCTGCGTGAGTGACAGCGCTGGCAGATCGGAGCGGGGAGAGGGGAATCCAGCCCCTCCACCTGTCACGGCAGAGAGCCGTGACAGGATCGAGAGGTGAGGGAACCCGGTATGTGTTCCCTCACCTCCCGATCTACTGAGCCGACCTGTGACAGTCTCATTGTCACAGGTCGGCTTAGAACTATGAGGTGAGTGGAAATCACTCATCTCATAGTTCTCCTTTAAACCTAGTATGTAACAATCTAAGCAGATACCTCCTGTTATGTTATGTGTTGTTATAATATTGTAATGCAAATCCTGTTATTATATTGTAATCCAAAAAAGAAAGTGTTCATCTGTTATGGAAAGTATAAGACGGAGAACCCAGAGGACCCATTTTGTCCATTCGTTTATGCCAAAATGTAACCATTTCAGCAATGGAGGGTTTGTCCTTTCATCAGCAATGAAAGGTCATGAAGGTAGTATCGTGAAAGGTCATGAAGGTAGTAAGGGACAAATTCATTATCTTATATGCCTCTTTATTAGTTCAGGGCTAAATCCGATCAATTGTATTGCCCCCTTCATGAAAACCACTTATGTACAATTATCCATAAAATAATAACATTTGCTTCATGCAACTCAGCTGGTACAACTTCACAGTATATGCTAATATTTACACATCTTTGGTGGACTCCTGGATGGATGTGTTTTATCTACCATTCCCTGTGTCATATATTCATTTCAAGGATCAAACTTATCTTAACTCCTACAGCATTATCATCCTCACTCCTGTATTATAAGTACACTGTTTGCTCTAACCACGATCTTGTGCTTACAGTGTTTAATTTTCAGGCTTCCTTGTCAAAATGATGGAGATTAAACAATTCACTATCATGCACATTTTGACAAATTTGAGTTGAATGACCATAATCCAAAATAAGTGTAGACTACACATTTTTTTCAGAGAATTATCATCCAACAAGCATCTAAATGTTAAAGCCCCCCCACAAACCTAAAAGACTTTCCTTAGCCCACTAATTAAAACACTCTCACTCCTTGCTAAACCTTATTAACCACTTCAAGACCAGGTGTTTAGACCCCATTCCTGGCCAGGCCATTTTTCAGTATTCAGTGCTGCGGTACTTTGATTGGCGTTTATTCCGTCATGCAACGCTGCACTGAAATGAATTTTATACCATTTTTTGGGGACAGATAGAGCTTTCTTTTGGTGGTATTGAATCACCACTGGGGTTTTTATTTTTTACTATATTAAGGAAAAATTATTGAATTTGTTGGGGAAAAAAAAGTTTTTGTTTCATTATATTAGGAAGCAATGATTATTACCCATATTTTTGGTAACATATAAAGGACGGGGTCACGTCGGGTAAATAGACACCCAACATGTCATGCTTTAAAATTGCGCGCACCCGCGAAATCGCAAAAAACTACCATACCCAAAATTGACCATAGGCGACACTTTAAAAGCTTTTACCGCTCATCAGTTTAGTGTTATCAGTGATTCATAGCCCTAGAACTATTGCTCTCATTCCGTCGTTCGCGACGATATGTAACATGTGCGGCGAAATCGTCGTTTTCGCACGTATGCGCACCCAACGCCTGTTTGCATGCGTGTATGTAGGGGGGGGACTTTTAAAAAAAAATATTATTTTTTATTTGTAACTTTACATTTTTGGGGGGGAAACTTAAATATTTTTTTTTTCAAATTTTTTTTTCCACTTAACTTTATTGCTATCACATAGGGGGATAAGAAAACCCCCTTATGTGATAGCAAAATATGTGACAGGTCCTCTTTATGGAGACATCAAACCCCCTGAAGAAGCTGATGAAGCAGAGATCTGCTTCATCAGCTTTTCTCTCAAGCATCTGAAGCTGGAGAGTGACACAAGAATGCGGAAGTGATGTAATATACATCAGTTCCGCATTTTGACAGCGGAGAGGGGACCGGAGGGAGGTCTACGCTCGACGAACGCTCTACAAAACGCTCAAAAATATAAATCCCATTGTATTCAATGGTCTCGTTCCCACCTTGGCGTATTTCCGCCCGTCCCTAACGCGCTACAAAACGGCCCACGCCTGAAATGGTACAGGTAGTACTTTGGGCCGTTTTGTTGCGCGTTTCCATTGGGATACAGCCAAGTAGCCTTCGGAAACGCGCGACGGTCACGCGACAGACGCGCATATGCAATACGCCTAGGTGTGAACGAGACCTAAATGCAAACAGCTGCATTAGTTGGCCATTTTCTCAAACCGTGAACTAATGGTCGACCCAAACCTGAAGCTCATCTCTATTCAAGTATTGGATTACGATATAAATATCAATTATCAGACAAACCCTGAAAGGATACCAGTCATCTAATTCCATGCCACAGAGATGCAGGCAACTTTAGGATTAGTAAATTGTCACGTACTATTCGGTGCTTGAAGTGACGAGGGAGGCCTCTCTTACAACTCCGGTCCCGAGTGCCTGAAGACTGAAGGCAGAAGTGCAGGCTCAGATGACAAAGGTAGATCAGCAGACAACACAGAGGATGTTGGTCTGATGACTGTAGAATAGCAGACAATGCAGTTGATGCAGGTCTGCGGACTGTAGATAAGGCGGTGGCAAGGTCAGGAACAGGCTGAGTCAAAACCAGGCAGGCAATGCAGTACCATGCAGAAGACAGGATCGTAGTTGAAGAACAGGCTGAGGTCAATACCTTGAGGGCAGCATGGCACAAGAACAGCAGGCAGAAGCGGAGTCAGGAACAAGGCGTGGTCGGGAATACAGAGAATCAGCTGAATGGTCAAGACACGGAACACTGGATCTAGATAGCTGGTAGCTGATGCTCACGTAGCACTGGACATCAGGAGGACAGTTAAAATAGCCTGTCTGGCGCCAGAGTCTGTTACACGTGCGCAAGTTTGCACGCGCGCATTCACAGGTCTAACTCCATGGGCCAAATCGTCTGCACGCACATTAGCAAACGCTCACAGAATGCCGCTGAATGAGGCTCCTTGACAGACTTCTTGACATAATTGCAGTTTGCGAGGAAAGAGTTCAAAAGCTTTTAGAAAAGTTACCAGCCGTTGTATTCCCTGTACATATGCCAAGGGGGCCTCTGAAGTAGAATAGATCCAAAGAACTAAAAATAGGGCCACTCTTGCCTATTCCTTGGACCTCTGTAATGTGGTCAATTTTACATTTGATCTACTAGTGACCCAGGCAAAAGCAGAAAACATAATTAGGTTCTGTATGAAAGGATTTCGGTTTGCTCACAGGCATGTAAATGAGTATATAGTGGTACTAAGTAAGAAGAAGTCCTAATAAGATTGATTCAGCCTGACACAGACAGAGAAAGTGTAGACTAAATCTGAAATTAGTTTTTAGTGGTATTCATTAGATGGGTGATATTTGTTTGTAAGGGCCGTGGAATGGTCTTTAGTAATTACAATCACCAGGCACGTAGTTATTTAATGTTTTTATGGGCTTTACATTTTTATCTTGTTATTTATGACTGGGGTTTTTCTTTAACAATAGACTGTTTTTATTTTTGCTTACCTCGAGCCATCTGTTCACTGACATATATAAAATCCATCAGCTGCTTATGTAATGGCAGCCAAAATAAGTCATATTCAAAAGCACAGTTATTGTATTGTTACTGTAATAAAAAAAATAGGGCTGGTAATGATTCAAATTTTCGTGTTCGATTAATCGGAATTTTTTAAAATCGATTAATCAATTAATTTCGATTAATTATAACGCACATACAGATCCAACTACATTGGCCTATACACGTACAGCACAGCAATGAAGTAATAAAATGAACTAGGATGACACTAATCCAGCACGTTATTCATCTCACGTGCCCCACTCAATATGGCCGCCGCTTGAGTGGGGCAACTCAGAATAATAACGTGCTGGATTAGTGTGATCCTAGTTCATTTTATTACTTCTTTGCTGTGCTGTTTGTGTATAGGCCAATGCCGCGGCTGGCACTCGTGTAGAAAGTTTCTTGGGCAAACTCGCCGGCCCAAGTGGCTCCGTCAGCTAACGAAGGGGGGAGGAGTCTGGTGACGTCATGGACATCGACGTCACCGGACTCCTCCCCCTTTCCCTTCGTTAGCCGTCACGGACATCGAAGGGGAAGGGGGGAGGAGTCCGGTGATGTCGATGTCGTCACCAGATCGCCGACGGGACTGCCGGAAGCCGGCGGAGAGGTGAGTGTTTTCATTAGCGATCAAAATAATTTTAATCGATCAAAAAGTTTAACGATTAATCGAGAAATTCATCTTTAATTTTCACATCCCTAAAAAAAAAAAAAATTCCATCATGTTTATTCAAAATGTCCAAATGAATATTAAACAGTTAATCTTTGGCAAACATGGAGGACAGAGCTTGTACATTAAAAACATCTTTAAAAAAAACCTGACTGTTGACCAATGTTTGTTGGATTCCTAACTACAGATTAAAGGAGGAGCATGAAAAAAGTCATGTCTTAAAACAGAGACCATAGTGTTGGACATTTAAAAATGTTGGCCCCATTCAGACTTGATAATTGCATACACAAGTGCAAAATCATGCAATTTTGTGCACATATACAAAACGCAGAAAATGCCGCGATGGCACCTCAAACGCACACACACACAACAAAGAAAGTCAACGCAAACAGCTGCATGAGCTTCTTTGCCACGTTTGTCGCACATAGGGTAGCCCATTGGAGTTAATGGGCTTTTTTTAGGGGACCTGCGACAAAGGCACAAAAAGGCTACACATATTTTATAAGACTATGTTTCTTTTTTCTGTGCCCTTGCTATAACAATTTATTATGCTGTTTGTCAGTATCGTCATTTTTTTAATTACCTTTCCTGTTTATTTCATTACTTAATTGTGTTTTCTTTTCCTTTCCAGCGTATTTTGGGATTTGTACTGTGCAGCACCTGATAGGCGAGAGACCTGTGAACACTCTAGTGAAGCCAAGGCTTTCCATGACTACGTAAGTCAAGTCTTTACTACTTACACTGTTCTTGCTGAGTTTTACTTCAGCTGTGCTGCTTGAGCGATCCATCTTGCTTTGAATTGCATCGAATGTATAAATGCTAGGATAACAGTAGGCCACCTATTTGTTTCTTGAAGTAATTACTCACTTAGAGGCAGACTGGTTTGTTGAATGCAATAGATTCATTAGTGTCTAATATTTGAATAAGTGTTTCTGCATACATGAAGTGGCAGCACTGAGCGAGACGTACTCATTGGAGGTTTGTGGATATGTATAGACACTGTCAAACAAAACAAGATTGAAAAATCACAAATATTTGTTCCTTGTTTAATGTAGCATATTTCCATTTGGTATTTATTTCCGCCACCTTAACCACGTTTTACTGATCTTTTATGAGACTCTGGTTGAACATAGAGAAACAGCTGGAATGGCTTAAAAAAGAAAGAAAAAAGAAAAGAAATCACACCATGAGCCAAGGAAATCCTGTTGCGTGCAGCTATTGTACTTGGATGTGTTACTTTTATGTATGATTCAAGCTGTACATATACTCTAGTGGGCAGACTGTTGGCTTTCTGTTTAATTGGGGCCTTACTGGTTCAGAAAATATGTTCCTGATGGATGCTTGTTTAAAAAGTATAAAAGGAAACCTCCATGTATTTTGTCATCTTCTACTCTCCTAGATGCAGACATTGGCCGAAAGGCTACACACTACACAAAAAAGTGAATAATTTATCAGCTGTGAAAGTTCTACCACTTGTGGCTTTGCTTTGTGTTTCTCTGTCCAGTGCTACATATGTGGATTTCAGATTCCCATTTTTTTATAATACTGCACAGACACTTTATTGTGCTTTCCTGTAGAAACAAGGTTCAGAACTTATACCTTTTTGCTGACTTTGGCATGTTGACTATTTACACGCTGCTTTGAAGGTACCTACCCTTTTGTGTCTATCCATGCTGTTATTGTGCATTGTATCACATTCTGCTTTATGTATGTATGATGTTGGCCTCTTTATGTGCTTCCACTCAGAGATTAGTCATTTGCCGGGTTTAAGTAATACACACAGTGGTTGAAGAAAATGAGCTCTAGTGTTTAGTGTATTGGGAACACCCATTTGAATGTTAATGCTAATAGTGATGTATTTATAAAGCACAGCTAGTGGCCACACATACCGCCAGAATGAGTTTGCTTTAAATTTCTGTATACTTTCTGTATTTCTGAGTCTTAATATCTGTTTCATAATTGCTGTAGTTTTTGAAGTTGATGTAAGATTGCAATATGGCTGTGGCTTTGCTATGATTATGACTATGTGTTATTCAAAATGTGGTTAAGGGGTCATCCTGGACTAAATCTGCTGCATTGTATGTGTAGTTAGAATATAACACCCTACATTTGTATGTAGGTTACAGGATATAATAAAACAAGTGTATCACCGGTATCATTGTAGGTTCAGTGTTATGCCATATTAACTATTGCATACTGTAAGGCCCCATTCACACCTGAGTGTTTTGTAGCTCAAATGCCCTAAGTGCTACAACACTCAACATGAAGAATCTCATTGTTTTCAATGGCCCAGTTCACATCTGAGCATTCTGTTGTTTGTAGTATAATGCATGTGGCACAAAAAAGTACATGAGCTTATTTTGGAGCAGAGTTGAGCATTTTGGCCTGATACATTTTAAATAGGAGCTCCTAAAAGATGGGGAGACTATCGTTTTGTTAAGCTTTTTTTTGCCTAGTAGCTAGCTTTTCATTGGCTAAACATAAAGACATGCTCAGGCTTGAAACATGTGCAAAAACACCTTTACAAACACCAAAAAGAAAATGCCCAAAGAAGCTCAGTCTGAATGGTGCCTTACTGTGCCTGTAAAAGAAGAACAAATGGTGCTAGATGTTTCTTTATGCACACTAATTTGATTTGGTGTGAGCATGTATGGCCATTGTTTTTTCACATATTGCTCTTTGTAGTGCTGTTTGAAGGTTATGTAAAGTGTAAAGGTTTATTTTTGTTCTGAATTTCTTAATTGTGACTAGGAATTGAGACTTTTGAAAAAAGTTGTCAAAATTCATAATATTAAACATAAAAACACAAATCTTTTACTAGCCAATAGTCTGCTCTGTAGGTGGTTGTTACAATTGTTTCCTTATTTTTTACTATCCTGACAATTTTAAATTGCAAGCCAATGTTTTTGGTGTTAGTTTTCATAAGCTGGTACAGATATTGTATTTGAAAATTTCAGTCATTTGTCATTTTAAAATACGGCTTTACAGAGTATTGCAAAACAATGCAGATGTTTAACACAGTCTGACTGTTCCAATATTGTGTCTTCCACAGTTTCCGGACTCCTTTATACATATAATTGCCTTCCTACTTAATACAGCACTCAGTTACAATATCTGCGGTTGCAGTGAATGATCAGAGATGTTGTCCATGTTCATTACGCACAAGTTCTCCTGAACCTGCTGCAGTTTTTAACCTGACTTTTACCATTTCTTTTTGTTATTTTATTTTACACGTGTGCATTAGCAGACTTGTCCCTGTTACTTCTCTGAGGAAGATAGTGAAAAGATCCTTAAATGTTTCCAGAGACTTTTAGGCGTGTTTGAAAGATTTTAACTGATTTGAAGACTTTTATGACTTTCGATGCTGTTTTCATAGCCCTGTATAGTAGCTAATTAGTACTAACAATGATCAAATCAGTTATATTGCTTGCAAAAATATCACACATAAGCCTTAGATAATCAATTGCTGCCTTTGGAGAAAATAATGAGATACAAAACTTAGAAGAAAAATGATAATTAATTGCAGGGTAGGTTTATATAAAACAAAGCTTGTAACTGTGAAATCATAAGCATCCTTTCATAAAAAGTACACAGTCTACCCCACCTGACTAGCAGTATTCCACTCTCCCCCACTCCACATGTATACTTACCTGCATCTCACAGCAATCTCCATGTCCCGCAACAGCAAAATAGTCCTTCCACTTGCCAAACCTGCATAGTTAATCTCATAGACTTCTATGGGGGCATCTCCTGTCTCGGTGTAAGGGGTGTGGCTTGGTTATTTGTAAATCTGTAAGGAGAGAAACAGAAAGACTGCTATTGCTGTGCATCTATTGAAAATGCTAGCTGCTTAGCTGTTTCCAGATTCAATACTTTTAGGTGCTGACCTAGAACAAGCATGCAGATCACAAATGTCAGACTAAAGTCCAAACTACTAATCTGCATACTTGTTCATTAACAAAGCCACTGGATCAACATGACCGTAAGGGAAGAAGAGGTATGTGGTGGCAGCCTTCATACTTGCTTACGACAGGCTTTAATTAAGGTGGTTAAACTTCTGAGCCTAGGATTATTAGGTATAAATCTGGCACTGTGCATAGGAACTGGAAATGTGTTAGTTGGTTGGCTATGTTTCTTAGGATTTTTTTTCGAGTGTCACGATTGTGATGCCAAAATGAATATTCTTCACTGAGCTATTGTTGAGACGCTGTTGTTGTTCACAACAACATTATGGCAATGCTTTCCATCAAGGTATAGAGTTATACATTTTTGTAACTACAATATCTACTATTTGTTAATGCTTACATCCTAAACAATTCAATTGTCTACAGAAGAAATGGATAATAAACAGGACAGTTGACCAAGCATCAACCTCACCCACAGTTCCGCAGCAATCTTCCAGTGTTGTTCACACTTATATATTCTCTAATAAATGAGAAAACAAATTAATAAATATATTAATATATATTTGTTTAATTGATGTCTGTGTTGTGTATAGTAAATTGATGTTTGAAGGAAAAGGATTTTTATTTTAAACATGATTTAACGTAGATGTAAGAGTATAAATAAGAAAAATACACTGATGTTTTCTTATGAATTTATGAAAAACAAATGGCATTGAAAGAGTTTACTTCATTTTATGAGGATGTATGTAAGAATCTGGAAAGAGAGATGGCTGTGGATGTAGTATTCTTGGACTGTGGTAAAACATTTTACATGGTTCCTCACAGATGCCTATTGTGAAAATTGATTCAGAACCCCAGGATAACCATTCATTACAAATGATAAATTAATATATATTAACTATTTACTTAAAAATAGCTTTTTAATTCTGGCCAACCATCTGTCACACTGGTAATAGGTTACCATATAATGTTGTGTGATACAACGCACTTGCGAGGGCCAGGTGCATTGGGGTGCCATTAAAAAAAAGACACTGCACCTAACATTGCAACATGCGATGTGGGATTGCACGTGGCATTGCATGTACTCTCGCATCTCATAGATATTTACAGAGAGTAACACTGAACTTCTATTTTGTGCTCCCTTTTGGTCTGTTAAATGTACAATCAAAAGTGTTTCTTATAACTATTAAGTGCAAAAATACACGTTGATCCTGCATAAAATTCATTTTAGTTTACATTGATTTTATTTTCATTTTTATGTGTGTAAAATATTGCTACACTCCTTAAAATATTGCTAGAGTTCAGCTGGTGATAATTGTGAGTTTCTTTGAGGTGTATAACTCAATAATAGAGTGTATTTGTACTATGAAGAGATAAGAATGAGTCATGTCAAGTAAATTGGAGCTCTCAGAAGATCCTAAGCAAAATAGATATCATACAATATTAATTTCCTAATGCAGTTGTTGGTTACTCTTTAGATACGTTCATCCACTTTCTTACCTGTGTCAGGTTGGCCTGGATCATATATAGTTTTAGGGCCCTGGAAATCTGACATTGGTCTTAACACCACCTATGTGGGGGGTACTTGAATTTTCCTGGTTATGGCCTGACTTTTACTCTTAATCTTGCTCACAAAACAAATTAACTAATTACAGTCAAAGTTACCAATAACATTTGTCTATACATAATTTTACATAAAATGTAAAGAAGTTAATGGCTCCAGAGTAAAATATTTGAGTTCCTTTGCTAAGAATATGCTTCAAATCTCTAAACTATACATGTTTTGGCTTGCCCACAATGTACCTGTACAG